TCCCATGGTGGGTCTCACCGTTAGAAGTAATATCGGTTAAAAAGAAAAATACAATCGGAAGAATGGCAACATACCAGGCGCTCCTAAAAGAGGAACAGGGCCAATTAAAACTAAGACCATACGAAGAGGTGACCCAATACTGCACCACATGGTTGCAATATCACCAAATTGCCCAAATATTCAGGATAAAGAAATAGGATTTGAAAAAGAAGAATGAAATTACAAAAAGTATTATTACAAAACTCAAAAAAGAATATATCCAAAATGTATAATTTATTATTAGAATGGGACTTAAAGGATGAAGAAGTAAAACAAGTTATGACTAAATGGGCGTGTGATATAGGATACGTAATTCGGCTGGACCAATGGGAGAAATTATGGAAATGGGATATTAAGTTTACGGCATGTTATACAATCAGAGAAAAGTTCATGAAAATGGTGTACCAATGGTACTTAACTCTGGTAAAATTGGCTAAAATTTACAAATTAAAATCAAATACCTGCTGGAGATGCAAAAAAGAAATAGGAACAATGTTTTACATGTGGTGGGAATGCCAACCTATTAAACAATTCTGGAATGAAATTTATGAAGAAATCAAAAAGATGTTTAAAATATCTTTCAGTCAAAAACCGGAGACATTCCTTTTAGGTATAATCACAAACGATATTCCCGACAATCAAAGGAAAGTATTCCTTTATAAAGTATTCCTTTATGCAATGACAGCTGCCAGGATGCTTAGAGCAAAAAACTGGAAAGGGAGAAAAATTCCATCAATGAAAGAATGTCAAATTAAATTTTGTGAATATATAAATCTGGCAAGACACACAGCATTCATAAGTGGAAAATCGGACCAGAAATTATTAAAAGAACGGGGATGTGCTAAAGAGTATATGAAAAAACACTGTTCTGGAGTAAGTTTATCAGTATGTAATGAATGATGCTTTACAGGGTTAAAGTACAAAGATGGAAGTAATCTACATTAGACAAAACAATACAGTAAGAGTAAAAATTTTGAGGTCTTAGAACAAAGGAAGGAAGTCAATATGTGTATATGTATGTATTGATTAGATTAGAATGATGATATGGTTTTATTTGTAGATGTATGCTTTTTTGTCTTTTTTTTTACTTTTTTTTTCTTTCTTTTTTGTATGTTTTGTTTTTCTTTCTTGTTTATACAGTATTATTTTGCATTTACCGTAATATTTGTAATTTTTGTTACAAAAGCATAGGTCTCTCATGAGACTGCTTGTTCAGATTGCAGTTCTTCAAGGGTTAATGCTATTGTGCCTTAATTGTAATGCTATTTACAGATATATTTATTTTGAAAGTTGTACTATGCTGCACTCTAAAGAAAACAACTTTAAATGTGAAACTGTAAAATTATATATTCATCTCATGGTATAAGTTATTTAGTAGGTTTAGCTACAGTATACGAAATATTAACCTAATCAACTAAAATGCTGACATGGGTTTATTTAAATTCTGTTAGTACTCTTTTATAAGGGTACTTTCAATACTTTTTATGGTTTTGATCTTTAAAATGCTAGTTTATACAATGATTTTGCATTGAAAATAAAATAATGTTTTTTTAAAAAAAATTAAAAAAGAATTATTGGAAAACACAGATAATAAAATGCATTCCCATCTGGGTTGAATCCTGGCCATGGAGGTTCAATCCATCCAAAATTGAGGGGGACAACATCCCCTGTCAGGCTGCTGTTATGGGGAAGCAAATGACAGCCACCATCAGCTGCAAGAGACACACGCCATAGGCAGCCGAGCGGGACATGCGACAGAAGTGGAACGACACATCTCGGTCACATCGAGAGATATAACTTCACAGAGAAGTGGGACTGGCAAGGTAAATGGCCCGCTAGTCGTGGACGAGGTAGAGGAATGGGAAACATTCAATGTATCCAACTGTAGATCATTTGCATGATGCAGGGCTTCATACAATGTTTCTAAACAAGTAAACAAAAAAGAAATAAAAAGTTTTGTTCATGGTAACATTAGCATTGTATACAGAAACAATGGGTTTCTTTCATATCTTAAAGTATTGGTTTATTTAAGGTAGTTGTACCTTGAGCTTGTTTGGAGGTTCTAGAAGGGGAGTGCAGCTATCGTATACCCTTGACCGAAGAAGGGTACACTCCTTCTATCTGGGATAGTCGTCCTCTTCCACCGAGTGCGCAGCTTCGGGAGGGACGCACATGGAGCGGTGAGGGAGGAAGGGGACACCCGCCTAGCCAGTCAGATCAGCCGAATCAACCCTGGCGATCAATGGGGTGACAGATGTCGCCACCAGATCGCCCTCACATCTTTCCCTCGACTCCCCCTCCGCGTTGGCGAGGCAGTGGGAAGGACGGAGCTCACAGAAGCTCGGTCGTGGGAGAGTTTCATTCAGTGCATGGAGGGAGCCCCGCGCGCGACAGCTTAGCAGGCTGCGCTGCACCCGCGCCCCCTCAGCAGTTCGCCGCCTCATCTCCCCTTTCCGCAGGAGCTGAGACTTCCACATCCTTCATTGAGAAGAAAGAAGCCAGCAGAGCAGGATTAATACAGGATTGTTTCTGGTGTTCTTCTTATACAAAGTCTGCCTTCGAGGGTGGGGGAAGAAGGAAGAAAAGACTACCAAACATGCATACAGAAACACTACAGAAAGGTAGCATGGTGAAACCTGTCAGCCCCGCCATCACTTTCACTTCAGCCATTCCACTCCGCATTCTAAACAAAGGTAGTTGGACTTTCCCTCTCCTTTCCTTCTGAAAAGCTCAAAGCAGCTAACAAAAAATCAAACCATGATTTAGCAATTGAGAATATTTGTTAGGAAAGCAGCAGCAGAGATAACCTCCCCTCCTCCTCTTATCTTTATTTATTTGCTTCCATTTAAAGGGGGGGGAAAGAAGCATGCATGTGTGAAAAGCGATGTTGTCCAATTAAATTTGATATTGTGTCACACCAGGCCCACAGATTTTTCAAGAAAAATTCAATGGTGCATACCAGGATATCAGCCCGTGTGTAGTTCAGATTCTGCAGTTTGATTGCCCCCCAATGGCAGAACATTCAGAGTGCTCCTTGAAGGCGTGTCTTAAATTTTAATACCATGGGGCTCCAACCATTTGTGCCATATGACCAAGTAAGGCATCTTTCCAACTGCAGCAGCCCCATTTCCGTTGTAAAAGATGGAAAAAACACAGTTCCATGGAACAACAAGTTCTTTGTAAAAGATTTTGGGCTATTATCCTGTCCAACCCTGCTGTAGATCACCTCATGAAAGCTTTCGGCCAAATATCTAATGACATCCCCAAAGACAAGAAAAATCTACTCCTTTACACAACAACAGCTGCCAGAATATTGATTGCAAAAAAACTGGAAGGGGGAGAAAATCCCATCACTATCAGAATGGCAAAACAAACTCGGCGAGTTTGCAGAAATGGCAAAATTGACGGCAATTATTATAGGCCACTCAAATCAGAGAATAATTAGAGAGTGGGATGGAGTGAAGGAATACATGAAAAAATATGGTTCCGGAATTGAAATATTAATAGAGAATGTGTAAAACATGCAGGGGTAAGCAAGAAAATAATAGAATCAACTGAATAATTATCAAATTATAAGAACACAAAAAGATGGAAGTAAAATATTGAGATCACACATGGGTGAAGGGGAGTTGGGGTATATGGGAACCTATAATATCATTTATAATGTAATTTGTTAATTGTGTTACATACAACAAATGGAAGCCTAGAGTATTTAGATATATTTTAATTTAGGTAATCTATGTAATAGGCTTATGTTAGAAAATGAATGTGGATTTTGAATTTGATCTTTGTAAAAAAAAAGTTGGTTTTGAAAGAAAAAAGAAAAGAAGAAGAAAAAGAAACCATTTGCAGCCACTGGAATCAGCCAGCAAGTGATCCACAAGAGCCAGATTCTGGACTTGAAGAATCCCAAGTACATTTATCTTCATTTTTCATTCTGGCCAAAATTATGCCAATAACCTTAAACTAAATTTGGCATCAATTGTCTTTACTTGGGGAGGTCTTGGGGGTCTTAACACACAAGGCACCAAAGTCAGCCATGGAAATCTTCCAACGCATCATAGATTCCATAGGTCCTCTCCAGTTGTACAGTCTGTTATTCTCTTCCAATAACATGAAAACAAAATTTGCAGGCCGGGGAGGGGGGGGGGCAGTGAAAGCAAGCCCACTTTTTAATAACTATCGTATTGCTGTATGAAACAAGAAGAAACTTTGCACAAGAAGAAATTTTGTGGGGTTTGTGTGTGAGACTGGGCGGGTTATTATTATTATTATTAAAGCTCTGAACACTCAGATTCCTCATGCTAATTTACTGGTCAGGAGATTATTTACTGAAATCGCACACTTTCAATATTGCAACTGCTTGTGACAAATGTGGACAGATCTGTCGTTTGCTCAGAAAAAAGGGCAACAAAAAAAACCAACTTTGCATATATGCAGCTTGTATTTATATTTTGGATTATAGTTTTTTAACAACATTTTTGGGGGGTGAAGTGGGGGTATATGGGAACCTATAATATCAATTATAATATAATCTGTTAATTGCGTTGTATTTAAAATTGAGTAATAAGTCTATTATTTTTGTGTTTTTTTACTTTAGTATTGTAATGTATATTTTGTGTTGTGTGTGTTGTATGTTATGTTTGTGATAAACGTTGAAAATTAATTTTAAAAATTGGAGGGGAAGAAGAAGTTAATCCATCAGGTGGGGAGAGCCGGTTGCAAGGGACATGGGGAACCCTTGCACCGTTTCTGCAGGGCTTGCGCGGCCCCCATCTGCATTGTCTGCAAGAGGTCGAAAGAGCACATGAACTGATTAATCTGGACCAGGCTTCACAGTGGTTGAAGCAAATAGTCCAGTTTCTGGTGCAAGAGAGACGAGTGATTATGGAATTGAAACTGGCTGAAGAAGAAAGAGCCAGGCATATCCGGCGGAGCTAGAGGAGGAGAAGAACAAGATCATGGGCGCTTTTGAGCAAATGCACAACTTCCTGGAGGAGCTGCATCGCTTTTGGCTGACTGAACTGGAGGATCTGGAGAAGGTGATGAAGAAGAAAAAGGAAATAAATGTCGTCAAGCTTTCAGAGGATATCGCCAGTCTCAGTGTGAGACGCACAGAAACGGAGAAGAAGTACCACCTGCCCGCTATTGAGTTCCTGAAGGGCATCGGGACAACAGTGACCACGTTTCAGGAGCTGAAAAGAAGGTGGACACTGCTGGGAATCTCTCCAGGCATGGAAGAGAGACTCATAATTTACACTCAGAAAAATTCATTTCTGAAGGATACCTTGGAGAAATGCAAAGGGCTACCGATGCAGGCACTGAACAAAGTGAGTGTCACTCTGGAGCCAGGAGCAGAACACCCTTTTCTTGTTATAACCTGAAGAGTTTGAGAAGAAGAAGAAGAAGAAGAGGAAGGCAGGACGCGCTGGACAACCCTGGGAGATTCGACAGCATGCTCTACGTGCTGGGCCATGCAAAATTCACCTCAGGATGATATTGGTGGGAGGCGGTGGTAGAAGAGGAGGAGAAGGAGGAAAGGGAATGGGCCACCTGGGCCGTAGGGGTTGCAAAAGAGTCTGTCAGGCGCAAAGGCTTTATCAGCATGCTTCCTTCTGAGGGGATCTGGGCCATTGGGAAGGCAAAGGATGAGTCAGCCTCATCTGATCCCTTCTGGGCTTCAACCCACCCTGAGTGGATCCCTTTGAGATTGAGTTATGAGCCCAGGAAGATCTGGGTGTCCCTAGACTATGATGAGGGTCGTGTGGAATTCTATGATGCCCACACTAACGGTTTGATCTTCAATTTCCGACAAGCCTCATTCTCTGGGGAGAAGGTTCAGCCCTTTTCCCATGCTTGGTGGGGAGTTGGTCTAAAGTGTTGATTCCTGGGGACGATCCTCACCGCTCCCAGCTCTTCCACCCCACACCAGATTGAGAGGAGGCGGCATCCTAGCATTTTCTCCGCAGTGTTATGAGTTTGTGGGTGGCAGAAATTCTAAATTTCTGGATCCAGTAAATGTTAGAATTTAATCTGCGTGTGGTGTGTTAGAACTGGATGCCAGACAGTAGGTTTAGCAAGCATTAAAATACAAGCCAGGCCAGCTTCCCCATGTCGGGAAAGTGCCTGGGAGACGAGCCATGGCTCCCACACCATTATTTTGTACAACTTTATTTTGTACCACTTTATTTTGTGCAACTGAAAAACTTTAAAATCTTAATAATAGAAGAACTATGTGGTGGAAGGAAGAAAAGAAGGAAGGAATGAACCATTAAGAAAAGTCAAGGAGAATGGGTTTCTGGACTGTATACCTGTTGGGTGGGGCCCTTTCTGCAGTTCTGAGTTAGTTCAGAAAACAAAGGAGAGTTTGAAAGGAGAGTCTTTACAATTGGTGACCTAGGGGAAGAAGTTGCAGTCTGGTAAAGGTGGCAAGCTGGGGAGAGGGTCAGAGCACGATGGTTGATGTTATTTTGAATCCTAAACTGCAGCTATGGAAGAATTTGTTCTTTGAAAAATGAAAAATAAAAAACCCTTAAAAAAAAAGAGGAAGAGGGGGGAAAAACCAGGTGTACAAAGGAAATTGAATAATATTGTATAAAAAAGATAATATAAGAGCATTTACTTAGAAGACTTTGAAATTGAGGTAAAATAATGTAAGCAGAATTAGTAAATACTTAAAGAACCAGAAAGGGAAGTTGAGGGGAGTCTTTGGGTGGGGGGAGAACTGGATTTTATTTCATCCTTTTCTCTTATGTTTAAGATAATTATGCTGATTTTAACATTGTATAACTGTAAAACCCAATTTAAAAAATTTAAAGAGGAAGAGGAAGAGGAGGAAAACTACCGCTCAACTTTATGATCAGTGAAAATATTTGCTACTGCAAAGTTAGCATTTCTGTTTTTAAAATATATACATGGGGCTTTTTTGCAAAGAGAAGCATTTTCTGCGTGCACACAATAGAGAATCAACCAGGCTGGCAAGCAAAGGGCAGTATCGATCTCTCTCTCTCAAGGTTGCTTGCTTGCTTCTCCCGCCTTAAGGAAGAAAATCTTGCCCTTCCTGCAAATCCCTGCTGGTTTCTCCTCCTTCATGGCCATGAAAGGAATCAGCCCCGTCTGATCAGTCAGGATCTGCTAGGAAGCAAGCTGTGTGCTGCCTCTCTGATCAGAGCCTCACCATCACCCAGGGAACGAACAACAGAACGAAGCCCCTCGGCCAGTGACTCCTGCTGCATAGGCCTTCAATAAAATGTGATGAGTCTTCCCAAAACAAGAAAACAAGAGCCCGGCTCAGGAGAAGCCCAAGAACCTCCTTCCCAGGGGAAAGGATCAGATGTTTTAACCCCGTGCATCTAGTAATGGAGAGGACTCCACCATTCTTTTCCAGATAAACTGTAGAACATGGGTCTCAGATTTGGAAGGAGGTAGACTCCACCGTGGGAGCAGGGCCGGGGCGGGAGAGTGCTAGTGTCCTGTCTAGTCATGTTATATGGGATCAATTCCAATCTGTTATCTCTTAGGTGAAACCAATCACCTGTCTTCTTGATCCTTGTCCATCCTGGCTGATAAAAGCAAGCCGGGAACAATGATGCCCTGTGCCAGGCCAAACAAGAAGCGAATGAGTACCGCAGGCAACTTCAGAGTCTCACCTGTGAAGTGGATGCACTTAAAGGAACTAATGAATCCCTTGAACGTCACATGCGTGAGATGGAGGAGAACTTTAATCTTGAAGCAGCTAACTACCAAGACAACATTACCCGACTCCAGGAAGTGATCCAAAACATGAAGGAAGAAATGGCTCGCCATCGGCACGAATACCAAGACCTGCTGAATGTAAAGATGGCTCTTGATATTGAGATTGCCACTTACAGGAAACTGCTGGAAGGAGAAGAGAGCAGAATCACAATGCCCATTCCGACTTTTGCATCCCTGAACCTGACTTGTCCTGTTCTCAGATTGGAGACAGCTCCCACCTCCTTCTTCCCAACCTGTGGAAGGACCAGACTCAAATTCCTCACCTCTTGACCCCTCAGCAAAGGTCCAAGCTACAACCCCAGGGTGAAGTGCAAACCGCAACCCCAAAAGTCATGTGTCCATAATGAAGCAGTCAGAGGCTGCTATCTAAAGAAGTTTCTCCCATTTCTAGGAAGGCCACTTCAACTTCATCTAGCGCTCAGTCGCTTTCTTCACTGTCTTCCCAGTGCTCCTGGGCAAGCTCTACGGGCTCACTGACATACCTGAGGTCCATAGACTATGCTGCCAACCACAGGGCAGACGATTTCTGCAAGCTGAACAAGGAGAGGGAATTGCACTACTTTGTCATCCAGTTCAAGCTGAATCACATGATTTCCATGCTGTCTAGGAGGGGCAACAAGGCAGAAAACTACATAGGCTGCCGCCCAGTGAGGTGCAACTTAAATCCTAGGCAGCGGATTAGCACAAACCTCATAAACTTCAGAGACTTTGTACTGTATTCATCAAATGTCTGCTTCTCAGAAATGGGATCGTGAGTACTGGCACACATAATTGCCATACAGAGGGTGCTGCTGGCTTGGTGGTGGTTGCTTTTTTAACTTGGCAGCCCAGCCATCTTTGTGATACTGCAAGCCTTTCTCAGGCTTTGCCGTGCCATGGAGAAGAATGGTTTGGAATGCCAACCAATATGCACATTTTACCTTGTGGCACAAAGGCAGCCATCGCATGGAAACACCTTCACGTTGCTCTTTGTGGCTTACATTTTGTGTGTGTCACTTGTAAGTGCTCCAGGCTTCACACTTGGTCAATTCTCTACTGCCCTTACAAATGTTGCTTTTTTGGTCTGAGATATCATGGGCTAACTTGGTTTCATCAAGGGACTATAATATTAGCCGTTTAGAAAGTGCAAAAAGAAAGTGTTTGCAACTGTGATTGTAGTATTCATCTTTTTAAAATATAAACTTTGCAATTTTTTCACAGTTTCTGTATGCACATCAGCTATATGTAATAAATAAATCATCATCATCATCTTTATACCCCACCCATTCGGCTGGCTTTCCCAAGGGACTCTGCGGGGCTTAGAGCATATCTAAAAACATCCAGCATTAAAAATCTCCTGATACACGGCTCAGGAGATTGAGAGGGAGAAGAAAGAGAAGGCAGGAAGGGTAACCATGTCAGACCACTAACTCCTCAAAATACAAATGTCTTCCGGATAGATTGCCCATAAACTCCACCCTTGGTCCAAAACGGTTACCTCTTCCATGCTTAGCTAATCTGTTTCTCCTTCCCTCTCTGAGGAAAAAAACCTATACCTTTTCCCCGTACAAATGTTTAACTTTAACATATAAAATGCACACTAATATAAGCAACATCAAAATACCAAAACCAGTATAATCACAGGCTGCCAAGCCTGATTTAAATGTTGGTCATGGTAGGGCTCCAGCCTGAAAAGATGTCCCACAAATGGATTTTTCATTCTCTCTGCAAGAGGAGAGAAGTGAATGGCAGTGCTACATCTGGCGCAGTCATTAGGGAGGTGCAATCAGGGATTAAAAACAAAAAAGAGGACGGGATCCTAACAGCCAGAAAGGGTGCTCTGCTTGGAAAGGAGCAAAGAGCTGGCTGCTCCATCTTGTCCTGCTTCTGCTGCTGGTTTTGGGTTTGCTGGAGAAATATCAAATACTCTTATATACAACCCTTTATCCCCTACTTCTCTCCCCCTGCCTTCCCTTCTGAAATGCAGTGGCAAAGGTCTAAATTAAAACCCCAGGATGAAGCGCAAACCTCAACCCCTCAGGCCATGTGTCGTTAACTAAGTTTTAGAGTCAGTGGAAATATTTGCTACTTCAATGGTACTATTTTCCTAATACACAATTACAGGGTTTTGCACAGTTTCTGGGCTTTTCTACACCAAGATTGATCTTTCCTCCTTTATTATATTTATTCCTCTCACCATAACAGGTTTCCAAACAAATAAACAACTTTTAACCAAGAGGAAGCAACCAGAATGATTGGCAACTCTAACTAGAGCAAACTAGAGCAAAATCCTCAAGTTTTTTAAACCATATTTTAAGCCAGTCTATGGGACCAAACAATTAATTTGGCTCAGGGCACAGGCACCCGAGTGGGATATACAACAGATGTAGATGAACACATCTAGGTCACATGGAGAAACCTGACCACACAGTGCCAAGGAAATGGGACTGGCCAGCGAGGCAAAGATGGAGGAGAAATTGGAATGTTAATTACCCCCCCCAAAAAAAAAAATCTGGGGCAAACTGGTGGAGACGATAGTGGTGGGGAAGCTACAAGAATTATTGGAAAACACAGATAATTAAATGCATTCCCATCTAGGTTGAATCCTGGCCATGGGGGCTCAATACACCCAATATTGAGGGGGCCAACATCCCCCGTCGGGTTGCTGTTATGGGGAAGCAAATGACAGCCACCATCAGCTGTAAGAGACGCATGCCATAGGTAGCTGAGCGGGACATGTGGCAGATGTGGACAGACACATCTCGGTCACATCAAGAGATATAACTTCACAGAAAAGTGGGACTGGCAAGGGAAATGGCCCACTAGTCGTGGATGAGGGAGAGGAATGGGAAGTTCAGATGTGTAGTTCAGATTCTGCAGTTTGATTGCACCCAAATGGCAGAACATTCAGACTGCCAAGTAAGGCAAGTAAGCCCTAACAGAATAATCAGGAAAAACAAAGCAATAATCACCACATCTGAATACAGTCTATGGCACAAAACCATTAAATTCTTCATGCCCCTGCTATTTGCAGAATCTACTGATCCCAAGAGAGCTAAATCTCTGCTGAGGACTTGTTGCCTCAGTTGGTTGGAATCACTGACTGCAGGTACAAGGCAGGGCACGCTGAGCAGACCTCCTGGCCACCCAGGGCTTTAGCCCCCTCATTATTTCTAAATATTCCGAAACACGTTCAACTTGAATGTGCTGGACATCTGTGGTTTTCTGCCTCCCCCCCCCCACCTTCTTTTACTCCCACTTTCCTCCTCCATATCCTAAAGCTTTCCTCTTCATAGCTGCTGCTCAAGTACTATCTTTCCTTTGAAAATAAAAAATTGCAGGTTTCTCCACAGTTTCTGTACATACATCAGCAATATCTATGCTTCAGCCCTTTCCTACACCAAAATGGATTCCGTTCCAAACATGCCTTCAGGTGGTACAGCCACACAGTTCACACCCTGCCCTTAATGAACCTTTCAGTTACTGCACACACTCCAAATTTGCGGAGGATACACCTGTGTTACTCGCAGCCAGGTATTCCCAAACCCCTCAACACAAATGTCCCTTCTCCTTTTCTGCACCCCGATTCAAATCCCTTGCCAACACCTTACCAGAAGATGCAGCCACACAACTCAGACCTTATATGATCCATGGATAAAATATAAATATCTCCTGGAACCTACAACCCCTTGGTGCATTTAAACCATCGAAGCCTTTGGCGTTAAGAAGAAAAACATGAAGGGAAATTGGGCAACATATAAAATGTTATTAGAGGGGAAAATTAATACATTAAGAGGAAACGACTTTGAAATCCATATATATTTGACAGGGTGCCTCCAATACTTCCAACTGAATGAAAGACAAGGAAAATAGGGTTTGCTGCAGAAATATCAAAACTAAAGGGAACTCTCATCCAGCCTAAAGGAAAATATCTATCTAAAATGTATAATCTCCTCCACAATTCACACCCTGCCATCAAATAACTTTTGTCTCACTTAAAACGCTCAACCTTTTCTGAGGATGAATACCTCAGAACACATAGAGACAGAGAAAGCTAAAACATTCTGCAGTCTGATTCCCCCAAGTGGCAGAACATTCAGAGTGCTCCTTGCAGGCGTGTCTTAAACTTTAATACCATGGGGCTCCAACCATTTGTGCCATATGACCAAGTAAGGCATCTTTCCAACTGCAGCAGCCCCATTTCCTTTGTAAAAGATGGAAAAAACACAGTTCCGTGAAATAACAGGTAATGTAGTGTGAAAGAAACATTGAGGAGGGGGCAGAACCCCTAACAGAATAATCAGGAACACCAAAGCAATAATCACCACATCTAAATACAGTCTATGGCGCAAAACCATTCAATTCTACATGCCCCTGCTATTTGCAGAATCTCCTGATCCCAGCAAAGCTAAATCTCTGCTGAGGACTTGTTGCCTCAGTTGGTGGGAATCACGGACTGCAGGTACAAGGCTGGGCACACTGACCAGACCTCCTGGCCACCCAGGGCTTTAGCCCCCTCAGTATTTCTAGACAGGGTGCTCAGTTCCCCCAATATTGAGGGGCCCGGCATCCCCCACTGCCGGGCTGTTGATGTGGGGCCACAAACAACTGTCACCAGCAGCTGCAGGAAGCCGCGGGATCACACATGGGTGGAGTGGGGGCTATATGGGAACATATAATGGGAACATATAATATCATTTCTAATATAATCTGTTAATTGCGTTATATTTACATAGAGCAAAGGGAAGCCTAGCGCAATTAGATATATTTTAATTTAGGTAATCTATGTAATATGTGATATATGAAATATCAAAACTAAAGGGAGATGTCATCCAGCCTAAAGGAAAATATCTATCTAAAATGTATAATCTCCTCCACAATTCACACCCTGACATCAAAGAACACATAGGGACAGAGGAAGCGAAAAGGACAGGCCGCACAAGAAGCCAGTGACTTCTGTCTTGCAGCTAAATTTTTCGGATGGCCCAGACCTTTTCTCAAAGGGGGGGGGGGGGAGAGGAAGAACCACTAGACTATTGAGATGAAAAGGAGGAGGAAGAAGAGGAGTACGACAAGATTGGTAACCACAGAATGCTTTCCATTATTGAAGTTACAAGAGATGCATTCTGACAAAATGAAAAGCTTAGTACAAATGAGAAGACATTCCGTTGGCTCCATAATGAGGACCAAATGGCTGTGGAGAAGTTGTCTTGTGGAATCAGAAAGTTTGCTGCTGATGCAGTTAAATTGGAGCAGATGATAAAGGAACGAATGTTCAGTGCTGCAAATGGAAAGTTGGCATACCAAACTTATTGGAAGCTGTATGGCTGTACAAGCTGCATATGAATGGATTTTCTGTATTCCAGGCTTTTTATATGATTTTGCAAACTTAACATATTCTCAGTGTGTTTGGCACTTTTCTATATCACAATTGATACTGCTGTGGGGGGGGGGATTGCAGATGACTAAAGGACCAATTGACTGGAAGGGTTTCCCTTCAAAATGATGGTGGTAGTGGTAATAATAAAAGTATTGTGGTACAAAAAAAAAGTAAAAAAGTTTTTAAAAAAGTTTATAGTGTGAGTGTTCACCTCTGTTGGTGCCTTGTTCAATGGTCTGACACTATTGCAACTGGCTATAGTCAGTGGAAATTTTTGGTACTGCAATTGTACTATTGATCTTTTTAAAATATAAAATTGCAGGTTTTCCCACAGTTTCTGTACGTATATCAGCTATATGTACGCTCCTCCGTTTTTCTATTACACGATTGTCTTATAAACACGCCATCAGGTGGTACAGCCACACAACTCAAACCCTGCAATTAAAGAACTCCTGTCAAGACACTTAAGAAGTGGACTTCAAGTATTTCACTGAACTGCCAGTGCCCACTTTTGGAACAACGGCCACCTCCGGGAAGTGTGCAATTCCAGAAAGGCCATCAACCCAGTGTGATCCAGCAGCAGCTCCTATGCAGCCGTCTGCTGTCACTTGGATCAGAGACAAGACAACATACAAGAAAAAGGTGTTTGCAACTGAGAACCTTGGCTGGAACATGCCAGGTGTGTGTGGTTGTCTGTCTTCCCAGGCTCCTTATGCTCCCCATTTACTCCTCCTTGCCCTACAACTCTCATCATAACAGGTTTCCAAACAAATAAATAACTTTTAACCAAGAGGAAGGAACCAGAATGATTGGCAACTCTAACTAGAGCAAACTAGAGCAAAATTCTCAGGTTTTTTAAACCACATCTTAAGGCAGCCTATGGGACCAAACAATTAATTTGGCTCAGGGAACAGGCAGCCGAGTGGGACATACGACAGATGTGGATGAACACATCTAGGTCACAAAGTGCCAAGGAAATGGGACTGGCCAGCGAGGCAAAGATGGAGGAGAAATTGGAATGTTAATCCCCCCCCCCCCCCAAAAAAAAATCTGGGGCAAACTGGTGGAGACGATAGCGGCGGGGAAGCTACGTAGAAAATCTTATTTTTCATAAGCCCCCGATTTTCCCCCAGCTTTGACTTTCTGTAAATTTAATTACCCAAAGTGTATTTCTACATATATAGCAGGAGACCAAAACACTGGAAAGAAAATACAGTCTTGAAGAGACTAGTAAATTAATTGTGATGCCGATGTTGGATTTCTATTTATTTTCTTGAGTCAGAGTACTACAATCAAGTGTTAGCATATAACTGAGGATGCTTCTAGATTCCATGTTCTGTTTTCTGTGAAGCTCATTGTGTTTAACACAATGTGACAATTCAGGTAAAATCTGCTAACCTTATTGCTTGTTTTCTGGTGCTGTCAGAGTGTATGCTTTTGCACATATGAAGTGCAGTCTGAAAGCAAAGTATGTATATAATAAATTACCCTCCCCTCTCCAAATCTGGGGGAAACTGGTGGAGACGATAGCGGTGGGGAAGCTACAAGAATTATTGTTGGGTTGTTGCTATGGGGAAACAAATGACAGCCACGATCAGCTGTAAGAGACGCATGCCATAGGTAGCCGAGCGGGACATGTGACAGATGTGGAAGGACACATCTCGGTCACATCGAGAGATATAACTTCACAGAGAAGTGGGACTGGCAAAGGAAATGGCCCGCTAGTCATGGATGAGGTAGAAGAATGGGAAGTTCAGATGTGTAGTTCAGATTCTGCAGTTTGATTGCACCCAAACGGCAGAACTTTCAGAGTGTTCCTTGCAGGCGTGTCTTAAACTTTAATACCAGGGGGCTCCAACCATTTGTGCCATATGACCAAGTAAGGCATTTTTCCAACTGCAGCAGCCCCGTTTACTGTATTGTTTCTGTTCGAATGAGAGGGGGTGTTAGGAAAACGTTCTTTAAGAAACAGATAAAAGTTCCTGGAAGCTTTAAGAAGGGTTCCAGAATTTTCTTTAGTGCCTAGGAGTGGCACTCTAGGATTGATTGGTGTCCATTGGAGGTGAAAATAAAGGGAGGAAGTTGCAGGCTGCAATGTCCGTAGAAGGACAGCACACTCACACCAAACACACACAACACACAAGACAATGTGTGCTGACAATGGAAGTAAGACAATGTGTGCTGCTGATACTGTGAGTTTTGCTGTGTCAGGATTGTTAAGTACTGGACTGAGATTATTCTGTGCTGGATATATAAAGAAGGAATTTAAATTTTCATTGTCGCATTTAACTTGCCTTAAAAGGTGGAGAGAGAAATCTAGTATTTGCACTTAGCAAAGAAAGAAAAGATAAGAAATGGGGGGTGGGGGAAAGAGCAAACCCTAGCGAGGGAAAATTGTGCATGTCCTGAAACTTTGTATAACAATAGCTCAAAAAGGAATAAGTGGTTTATTAATAAATAAAGGAAAAAAGAATATTTTTTCTTTACCTTCTGGTAAGAAACCATTCTAATATTCTATGTGTAAAAAGTCTCTGCATTGTATTGTGATTTGAATTTTTTGTAATTAAGACAAAAACCTCGTGCACTCTGCAAAAACAAGACCAAGAAAGAATTTAAACAGCTTTTTCCTGCTGCTCTCATTCAGCGTGTTGAGTGTTGTGAGTGTGGTGGCTTGCATTGCCTTGGTCCGCCTCTCAGGGACCATCCAGTAGAGGGTGGGACGAGCCATTCCTGGGACAGTTCTTCATTCAGTGGGACTTGAAAATAAAGATATTTTTCACATCCAAAAAAACCAAGAAAAAGAAAAACATTTATTTGAATTTTCATTCTGTCTGCAAAAGGAGAGAAGAAAGATGCAGTGCTTCATCAGGCACAATCATTAGAGAGGTTCATTCAGGGATTAATTAACAAAAAAGAAGATGGGATTCTAACAGCCAAAAAGGCTGCATCATACTATTGTTTGACTTGGGTTTCGCAACCCTTTCTCGTGCCTGTCCCTCTCTGAAAAGCTTAGTACAAAATATTGAAAAGCTTAGTACTAAAAAAAAATGCTTAGTACTTGGCAAAAGTCCCAAGTTAAACCCAGGGGTGAAGCGCAAACCTCAACCCCTCGAGTCAAGTTCAGAGCTGATGGCCCAGCCGAGGGGAATGGAGCTTTCGCCTGGCCAAGCCGTTGAGTGAGTTCTGGGTCGCCCCCAGGGAGGATTCCTATGTCGGGAAAAGCATCCCCGAGTGGGTCACTCCATTGTTGCAGCCCCTCAAACTAAATGGGAGGAGTATGACTACAAGGGACCACCGCAATGAACAAGGGAGGTTCGGGCAGAGGACGACTATCGAGAGCTGGAGCGCCCACCCTAGGAAAGTCGCCGACCAATGATGTATTGACCGCCTAGCGCAGCCCAGATATACTCGCCAGAAGGGTCTTGGGAGCCCCGCGGGCCGGTTCGGTGGTACGAGGAAGAGGAAGAGGGTACGGGCTGCAAAGGTGGCGCAAAATTTCAACTTTTGGCTGTCTGCAAGGAGGTAGATACATTTGAGGGACTGAGGCAGTTGGTGATTAAAGAACAGTTTCTTTTTGGGGCTATTATCCTGCCCAACCCTGCTGTAGATCACCTCGTGAAATCTTTCGGCCTAATATCTAATGACATTCCCAAAAACAAGAAAAATCTATTCCTTTACACAACAGCAGCTGCCAGAATATCCCATCACTATCAGAATGGCAAAAAAACTCGGCAAGTTTGTAGAAATGGCAAAATTGAAAGCAATTATTAGAGGCCACTCAAATCAGAGAATAATTAGTAAGTGGGATGGAGTGAAGGAAAACATGAAAAAATATGGTTCCAGAATTGAAATATTAATAGAGAATGTTTAAAACATGCAGGGTAAGCAAGAAAATAATAATAGAAGCAATTGAATAATTATTAAATTATAACAACACAACAAGATGGAAGAAGTAAAATATTGAGATCACACATTGGTGAAGGGGAGTGGGGGGTATATGGGAACCTATAATATCATTTATAATATAATTTGTTAATTGTGTGGTATATACATAGAGCAAAGCAAGCCTAGAGCAATTAGATATATTTTAATTTAGGTAATCTATGTAATAGGCTTGTGTTAGAAAATGAGTATGGATTTTGAATTTGATGTTTGTAATATTTTTTGGTTTTGAAATAAAAATTTAAAAAAAGAAAAAGAAACCATTTGCAGCCTCTGGAATCAGCCAGCAAGTGATCCACAAGAGCCAGATTCTGGACTTGAAGGATCCCAAGCACATCTATCTGGATTTTTCATTCTCTCTGCAAGAGGAAAGAAGTGAAAGGCACTGCTACATCTGACGCAGTCATTAGGGAGGTGCATTCAGGGATTAATTCACAAAGAAGAGGAGGGGATTCTAACAGCCAGAAAGGGTGCTCTGCTTGGAAAGCAGCAAAGAGCTGGCTGCTCCGTCCCTTCCTCCTCCTCCTTCTTCTTCTTCTGCTGCTGCTAATGGAGGCCTGGAGCAAAGCAGGCCGAGTTCTCGGCTTCGTCATGGCTGCCATGGCGCCACATTCACCCCATTCTCCCTGCCCTGCTGGTCCACGTGGCCATTTGCAGAGGGGTGGTTTCCGCAGCCCCCCACCATCCCACCCCCTTCCTCTATGCTAGGTAAATAGAATTACAGGATTTCCCACAGTTTCTGCTTTCCTCTTCATAGCTGCTGCTCAAGTACTATCTTTCCTTTTCAAATAAAAAATTGCAGGTTTCTCCACAGTTTCTGTACATACATCAGCAATATCTATGCTTCAGCCCTCTTCTATTGCAAGATGGATTCCTTTCAAAACTTGTCATCAGGTGGTACAGCCACACAGCTCACCCCCTGCCCTTAAGGAACTTTTCAGTTACTGCACACACTCCAAATCTGCGGAGGATGCACCTGTGTTACTCGCAGCCAGGTATTCCCAAACCCCTCAACACAAGTGTCCTTTCTCCTTTTCTGCACCCCGATTCAATCCCTTGCCAACACCTTACCAGAAGGTGCAGCCACACAACTCAGACCTTATATAAACCATGGATAAAATATAAATATCTCCTGGAACCTACAACCCCTTGGTGCATTTCACCCATTGAAGCCTTTGGCTTTAGGAAGAAAAACATGAAGGGAAATTGGGCAACATATAAAATGTTATTAGAGGGGGAAATTAATAAATTAAGAGGAAAGGGCTTTGACATCCATATATATTTGACAGGCTGGCTCCAATACTTCCAACTGAATGAAAGACAAGGAAAATAGGGTTTGCTGGAGAAATATCAAAACTAAAGGGAACTCTAATCCAGCCTAAAGGAAAATATCTATCTAAAATGTATAATCTCCTCCACAATTCACACCCTGCCATCAAATAACTTTTGTCTCACTTAAAACGCTCAACCTTTTCTGAGGAGGAACACCTCAGAACACATAGGGACAGAGAAAGCTAACACATTCTGCAGATTGCTCCCAAATGGCAGAACATTCAGAGTGCTCCTTGCAGGCGTGTCTTAAACTTTAATACCATGGGGCTCCAACCACTTGTGCCATATGACCAAGTAAGGCATCTTTCCAACTGCAGCAGCCCCATTTCCTTTGTAAAAGATGGAAAAAACACAGTTCCATGGTACAACAAGTAATGCCGGGTGAAAGAAACATGGGGGGGGGGGGTGGACAGAAGCCCTAACAGAATAATCAGGAAAACCAAAACAATAATCAACACTTCAAGGAACTTTTGTCTCACTTAAAGCGCTCAACTTTTTCTGAGGATGCACACCTCAGAACACAAAGGGACAGCGGAAGCTAAAAGGACAGGCCAGTGTCTTGCAAGTAAATTTTTCGGATGATCCAGACCTTTTCTCAAAAGGGGGGGAAGAGGAAGAAAGATGGAGGAGAGATTGGAATGTTAATACCCCCCTCCAAATCTGGGGCAAACTGGTGGAGACGATAGCGGTGGGGAAGCTATGTAGAAAATCTTATTTTTTATAAGCCCCCGATTTTTCCCCAGCATAACTAATTTTTATTTGGCTTTGGCTTTCTGTAAATTATTTACCTCAAAGTGTATTTCTACATATATAGCAGGAGACCGAAACACTGGAAAGAAAATACAGTCTTGAAGAGACTAGTAAATTAATTGTGATGCCGATGTTGGATTTCTATTTATTTTCTTGAGTCAGAGTACTACAATCAAGTGTTAGCATATAACTGAAGACAGGAGTGCCTGGCGTGCTCTGGTCCATGGGGTCACGAAGAGTCGGACACGACTAAACGACTAAACAACAACAAGCATATAACTGAGGATGCTTCTAGATTCCATGTTCTGTTTTTTGTGAAGCTCATTGTGTTTAAGACAATGTGACAAATCAGGTAAAAACTGTTATTGTTTTTTTCTGGTGCTGTCAGAGTGTATGCTTTTGCACATTTGAAGTGCAGTCTGAAAGCAAATTATGTATATAATAAATTAACCTCCCCCCTCCAAATCTGGGGCAAACTGGTGGAGACGATAGCGGTGGGGAAGCTACAAAAATTATTGGAAAACACAGATAATAAAATTAATTCCCCTCTGGGTTGAATCCTGGCCATGGGGGCTCAATGCCCCCAATATTGAGGGGGCCAACATCCTCCGTTGGGTTGCTGTTATGGGGATGCAAATGACAGCCACCATCAGCTGCAAGAGACACACGCCATAGGTAGCGGAGCGGGACATGTGACAGTGGGGATGTGGATAACCAAGAACGGAGCTCTCTGAACGAGAAGCGGAAGATGCTGGCTGGCCAGCACGAAGACGCCCGCGAGCTGAAGGAGAACCTGGACCGGTGAGAGCACGTGGTCTTGGACATCCTATGCAATTACCTCTCGGGGGAGCAGCTTCGAGACTACCAGCATTTCGTGAAGATGAAATCTGGTCTGCTCATAGAACAGCGCGAGCTGGACGACAAGATCAAGCTAGGGCAGGAACAGCTCAAGTGGCTTCTGGAGAGCCTCCCCACGGACTTCGTGCTTAGCAGCAGAAAGGGAGCAGAACCTCCATCAGCCACCGGGACCAGCTGACCTCCTGCACCAGCATCTTCGCTCTGACCCTTCCAGACGCGGCTGCATCAAACCTTTTCTTCTCAGAATTATTTAATCAGAAATCTCTTTTAATTTTTTTTAAAAAAAAGAATAATTGAGGGAGGATTTAATTATTATTTTTTAATTAATGTTGGGGTGGGGGGGGAATAAACAGCACGGAAAGATTTCTTTTTCTTCTTCATCTTCTCCCAGAGATCACGATTTAAATCTGTTTGGAATACATTGGATTCTTGTGGCCAAGCAAGATGCAGAAGAGACTGGCAGGAGGGAGGTCAGTAGCTAATTATAAATAAACTCAAGCTGTCCCTGCTGAAGGAGTCTTGCCCCCCCTCCCCCCTCTGAGCACCTGACAGTCGTTAAAATAATGAAGAATATACAATAATGAAGCCTTCATTAAAATATTAATGAGAGACCTGCTGTCTTGAACAATATCCATATTTATATTTTTTAAAGCTACAAGATAGAATTCTGTAAAGACTGCTTCTGAGAAATGGGATCGTGAGAGCTGGCATACATAACTGCCATACAGGGGGTACAGCTGGCTTGGTGGTGGTTGTTTTTTTAACTTGGCTGCCCAGCCATCTTTGTGATACTGCAAGCCTTTCTCAGGCTTTGCCGTGCCATGGAGAAGAATGGTTTGGAATGCCAACCAATATGCACATTATACCTTGCGGCACAAAGGTAGCCATTGCTTAGAAACATCTTCACGTTGCTCTGTGTGGCTTACATTTTGTGTGCGCCACTTGTAAGTGCTCCAGGCTTCACACTTGATCAATTCTGTACAGCCCTTACAAATGTTGATTTCTAGTGCTTTTTTGGTCTAAGAAATCATGGGGTGACTTGGCTTCATCAAGGGACTATAATATTAGATGTTTAGAAAGTGCAAAAAGAAAGTGTTTGCAACTGTGATTGTAGTATTCATCTTTTTAAAATATAAACATTGCAAGTTTTGGCACGCTTTCTGTATGCACAGCAGCTATATGTAATAAATCGTCATCTTTATCTAAAAGCATCCAGCATTAAAAATCTCCTGATACACGGCTCAGGAGATCGAGAGGGAGAAGGAAGAGAAGGCAGGAAGATTAACCATGTCAGACCACTAACTCCTCGAAATACAAATGTCTTCCGGATAGATTGCCCATAAACTCCACCCTTGGTCCAACATGGTTACCTCTTTCGTGCTTTGCTAATCTGTTCCTCCTTCCCTCTCTGAGGAAAAAAACCTATACCTTTTTCCCATACAAATGTTTAACTTTAGCATATAAAATACACACTAATATAAGCAACATCAAAATACCAAAAACCAGTATAATCACAGGGTGCCAAGCCAAATTTAAAATGTTGGTCATGGTAGGGCTCTATCCTGAAAAGATGTCCCACCAATGACGTGTGGTTCAATCCTGAATATCCTGAGTAACTCTTCTTAGCTTGGCTTGTTTTACTACGGCAATATTAGTACTTTGCATTATGACACATTCCAAGTTTTTCCGCAATCTTCATGTACTTTCTCATTCCTTTTCTCCAAGCAGACTGAATCCCTCGCAAACACCCCATCGGATACCTGCAGCCACACAACTCAAACCCTGCCAGCACTGAACTTTTCAGTTACTTCAACCGCTCCAGATTTGCTGAGGGTGCATTTGCATTCCTCTCAGCCAGGAATGCCTCTGTTTGGAGGTACAATGAAACCATTTGCAGCCACTGGAATCAGCCACCAAATGATCCACAAGAGCCAGATTCTGGACTTGAAGAATTCCAGGAACATTTATCTTCATTTTTCATTCTGGCCGAAATTATGCCAATAACTGTGAACTAAATTTGTCATCAATTGTGTCTTTATTTGGGGAGGTCTCGGGGGTCTTAACATGCAAAACACCCAAGTCAGCCATGGAAATCTTGCAACACGTCATAGATTCCATAGGTCCTCCAAGGTACAGCTTGCTACTCCATGCTGCGCGAGCTGGAGCCGAGGATCCCGCAAGGCACCAAAGTCAGCCAAGTGGAAATCTTGCAGCACGTCATTGACTATATCTTTGACCTGCAGATCGTGCTAGAGGAACAGGCGAAGAAGGAGCAAGATTCGCCCGCAGCAGAGACTTCCCTACTCTCTTTAAAAGCTGCATAGCGGGCATCCGAACTTTGCTCAAAAGAGGAGAGGAATCTCTGCCACTAACCTCTTAAAACAGACTGCAAGTGTGGGATCCTGGCACTTGGTCCTCTCCAGTGAGACAGGAGATAGAAGAGAGAGAGAGAACAGGGGAAAGGATCAGATGTTTTAACCCCGTGCATCCAGTAATGAAGAGACCACCATCTTTCTCTTCCAGATAAACTGTAGAACATGGGTCTGGCCAGCCAGTTGCTGATGCCTTGACTGGTCTTCCAGAAACAACTTTCTGCCCTCACTCTGTTATTCTCTTCCAACGGCCTGAAAACAAAATTTGCAGGCTGGGAAGGGGGGGCGGTGAAAGCAAGCCCACTTTTTAATAACTATCGTATGGCTATATTAAACAAGAAGAAACTTTGCAGAAGAAGAAATTTTGTGGCGTTTGTGTATCACTGGGCGGATTATTATTATTATTATTATTATTATTATTATTAAAGCTCTTCATGCTCTTCATGCTAGTTTACTGGTCAGGAGATTTCTTACTGAAATCACACACTTCCAACAATGCAGCAACTTGTGACAAATGTGGACTAGTCATTTGCTCAGAAAAAAGGGCAACAAAAAAAACCAACAACTTTGCATATATGCAGCTTGTATGTATATTTTGGATTATAGTTTTTTAACATCATTTTTTTGTGGTGAAGGGGACTTTCAAGAACATGAAAACTGAGGTGTCTTAGGGCTGATTTGCCTCATGGTTTTTGTTGCTCAACTCTAATAGAGAGAACACTCATGTATCCTTTTTTGGCAGGAAGGTTGATTTCTTCATCCATAATTTCTACTTCCTTTGGTGTATGTGTGTTTTAGTAGGTCTAGCTACAGTATACGAAATATTAACCTAATCACCCCGATTCAATCCCTTGCCAACACCTTACCAAAAGATGCAGCCACACAACTCAGACCTTATATAATCCATGGATAAAATATAAATATCTCCTGGAACCTACAACTCCTTGGTGCATTTCACACATTGAAGCCTTTGCCGTTAAGAAGAACAACATGAAGGGAAATTGGGCAACATATAAAATGTTATGGGGGGGGGGAATTAATAAATTAAGAGGAAATGACTTTGACATTCATATATATTTGACAGGCTGGCTCCAATACTTCCAACTGAATGAAAGACAAGGAAAATAGGGTTTGCTGGAGAAATATCAAAACTAAAGGGAACTCTAATCCTGCATAAAGGAAAATATCTATCTAAAATGTATAATCTCCTCCACAATTCACACCCTGCCATTATAGAACTTTTGTCTCACTTAAAACGCTCAACCTTTTCTGAGGATGAACACCTCTGAACACATAGGGACAGAAAAAGCTAACACATTCTGCAGCTTGATTGCCCCTAATAGCAGAACATTCAGAGTGCTCCTTGCAGGCATATCTCAAATTTTAATACCATGGGGCTCCAACCATTTGTGCCAACTAACCAAGTAAGGTATCTTTCCAACTGCAGCAGCCCCATTTCTTTTGTATTTTTTGGTTTTGAAATAAAAATTAAAAAAAGATAAAGAAACCATTTGCAGCCTCTCGAATCAGTGGAGGCGATAGTGTTGGGGCAGCTACAAGAATTCTTGGGGAAAACGAATTTGCAGAACTATTAAGGAAACAGTTCAAAGTAAAATATTTAGGACCAGCAAACAACTATCTTGGTCTAGAGAACCAGTGATGGAAGTTTTTTTGTTAAGTGAAAGAAACACAATAATTGAGTTGCTTGAATGGAACAACAAGCACAACTGGTTATAAAGCTGGGAATTATGTTGCATGATGTGTGGATACTTTTGTATATGTTTATAATACTGTATTTCTGTTCAAATGGGGGGGGGTGTTAGGAAAACATTCTTTAAGAAACAGATGAAAGTTCCTGGAAGCTTTTAAAAGGGTTCCAGAATTTTCTTTACAGCATAGGAGTGGCACTCTAGGATTGATTGGTGTCCACCGGAGGTGCAAATAAAGGGAGGAAGTTGCAGGCTGCAATGTCCGTACAAGGAAAACACACACAGAAACAGACACACACTGTCTTTGCAGATTATGGCGGGGCCTTCGCAGATGCCTCCAGAGGTTGCCTCTCCTGCAGAGAATGATTTGCTGGGGCCCCGGGCACCTTCTTCCAGAAGGAAATGTCATCTGAGGAGGTGATCCAGGAGGAGGGCAAAGAAGAGCAGGGATGGTGATTCTACTGTACTTCATTGTCAGGTAAATCGTCCCAGAGCTCTGATGCGATTCAGATGTCACCTTGGACCTCTACAGGGGTCAGAGTGAGGCCATCCCAGGCCTTTCAGCTCCACCTAAGGCAGAGAGGCGATCGCCATGACGGAATGTTAGAATCCGGTTTGCCAAGATCCCCACAACTCATTGGGATTGTAGGGACGCAGACGTGTGGACTGTTGAAATGGCTCCACATTTCGAATGGAAATTCCCTGAGCGATAAAAAATGAAGCAGGTATACAGGAAGCTGGCTTGGCAGCAGCTTTGTTGGGACTTCATTAGCGGTTCTTGCCAGCATCAGCCCTGTAAATATATGCATCTTTGTGTTAGGTGCTCTGGGTATAACATTCGGCCACTGCTTGCTGTATTAGAGACAGGCACCCCTTTTTGTGGTGGAGAAGGGGGCTCAAAGCAGCAAGCCAAAAATGCCCCCTGCCCAAGGAGGGCTGGGGCTGATAAGCTAGAATTCAATACCTCTTGCCTATACTCTCATAAGATTATCTCCCTTGTAAGCCTGGCTGGAAGCTTATACAGATTGGTCAGCTGTTTTGTACTTGTGGGAAGGGTTTCCCAATATTTTAGGATTCCCGTGGCTGTCCAGCCCATG